GGAATACAACTTATGTTTTGATTTATTTAGATTCGTTTCATTCATAATATTATTTAGATATTCTTGTCCAATAATACATACATTTGCTCTTGTATCAAGTTCACATAATAGGTTTTTCTGTATACCACAAATTAAAAATTTTAAATCAGCTTTTACTAATAATAATAATAATTTATTAAACATTTGGGCCACAACAGTGGATATGCATTGTCAAAACACAAAATAAGATAATAATAACATAAGAAAAATTACAGATCACAATAAATTCATAATTAACATTTCAATGAAATTAAATTACTAAGGTATCAGAGAGATACTCCCGCTGGCTGTAGTATGTGCCCTTTATCAGAAATATTTTAACTTTACTTTTAAAACTGTTCAGTTCATTTATTTGTTTTAGACTTCCGTTATTCGAAAGCTGATTATACAGTTTAACAAAATTGTATTGTGGACTTCTTTCGTACAAAGACGTTCGATGCGCGAGCAGTGGCAGACTGTTACTATTTCGCATGTTGTAACAATTATTGTGGTTATTAAAGTGTTGAATATGTTTCTTAACAAAAATCACGGCTTTCCATATATAGATACACGGAAAGGTCAGAAACTCTCGCTCCCTAAAAAGAGTCCTGCATGATTCAGCGACTCCGAGCCCAAAAATCATTCTCAACACTCTCTTCTGTGACACAAAAGCACGTTGCCAATTGATACCCAGACCCCATATTAAGATGTTATATGCAAGGTGAGAAAAACACAATGCATGATAGGCTTGTAATATCGATCCTTCAGCCAAACACGATTTTAACCTTAGTATTGCATAATAACCGGAATTCAATTTGGAGCATACCTGGTCTATATGTGATCTAAAGGACAAGTTACAGTCAACGTTTAATCCCAGGAATTTCACCGATTCCGATAAAGGAACGGCCAAACTCGAATTGAGAATTATCCTATTTTTCCTACACCAACTTTCGAATTCTTCAATCACTGCAATGACCTTGCGCGATACGGTTTCGGTGTCAGGAGCAGCAATAGGAACGGATGTGTCGTCTGCATACATTGTCAAGTGAACCTCCCTGTCAATGTGCTTGGGTAGGTCATTAATAAATAATAAAAATATTAAGGGTCCAAGAATGGAGCCCTGGGGGACTCCCAGTTCAGTTGGAGCATATTCTGATGATGCACCCGCTAAAATTACCTCATACTGCGACCAGTCATAAATGAGATGACCCACGGATCCCCAATCTGAACAGTTTATGCCCAACAAACTCCGGAGATATGGAGTCAAATCGAAAAATAAGCCAAAGACGACGTTACATAAACATATCTGAAATAATCGATCGTGGCCGTCTCGGTGGAAAACCCGTCACGAAATCCATGCTGAGCATTTGACACAATATTGAATTTGTCGAGGAAGCCCGCCAAACGTTCTTTGACCACACCCTCAAAGATTTTGGAAAAAACACTATTTAAAGAAATAGGGCGGTAGTTTGAGATATCCGACGAGCTTCCCCTTTTATACACGGAAATCGTGTTGCAAGTCTTGAGTTTATCCGGAAATGTACCCGGGGAAACTGATCGATTTAAAATCATTGCTAGAGGTGAGGCTAAAATATCTCGTAGAAACTTGACACAGTCGAAATGGACGCCATCAGGACCAACACTGTAGGTGTTTTTCAGATTTTTTATTACTCCCATCATCTCTGACACAGTAACATTATAAAAATACATACTTGCATTAAGGAATCCATCCGCCATACATGAGCCCGGTGACGCCGAACCAAAGGCTATGCTCAGAGATTCGGGAATCACATTTACAAAAAATAGCGAAAATTTTATTCGGATTTTCGGTCAGCAGGAATTAAAAGTAAAACAACTTTTTAAAATCGCTAATATTTCGATTGTCAAAATTATATATATATAATTATATATATTAATCTTCTTCAGAGCATTTTATTACTAAAAGATATTACAAAGAAAAAACGTAAGTCAAGCCACCATATTTTAAGAAACAAAAATGTAACTTACTTGTAACTCGAAGTGGCGTAAAATCTCGGAAATCGTCAAAAATGAATTGATCAAAAACATTATTAAAATTTAAAATTCAAAAAACACATTAAAATTGAAAAATGAAATATCAAAAAGATATAAATAAAACGTGGAACAAATAGACGCAAAATGCACGACTGTCAAATGTAAAAAGGGAAAACCCGTTTTTGGAGTGAGAATACGATTCCCAAAAATTTTAAGATGTACAGTGTACAGAGAAAACTCATCAAACACGCGAGCGTTAAACAAAAATAAATTTAATTTGTAAAGAATCTCTAAATTTTCTTAACAATAATAAATTAACTCAAAATCATCAATATAATAGCAATTAAAATACTAAAATAATAATAATAATAATAATACTTTATTGAGCCAAATAAACAACAAAATAAGAATAAATCAAGAAATATACAATTCAAGCTCAATGGGTGCAAGAGTAGAAAAGGCAAAAGTGCCACTGGTTTAACTTGCACCCTATAAGGTCGGCAAATATCGAAAGACCGCAGTAATAACCGTTATAAAAATAACTAAAGTAATTTTATTATAAAAATTATGACATCATTCCCTCCTTTATTTCTAAAACTCCAATTATAACGACGTTTCGGGAAATGTTCCCATCATCAGGTTAATAATACTCTTATCTAAAGAAACACGAATTACTAAATTAAAACTAACATAATTACTATTACAAACATGAAAAACAATCTCCATACACTTAAATCACAAAAGATTTTTTTGTTTAGTTTATAGAATATGATTCTTACCTAAGACTATTCATCAATTTTTATCATTAATTGTTTCTTAAATTTATTCCGATACATCTTATCATGCTTACGAATCAAGTCTAAGAGAAATTTTCATACAAGGTCAGATAACAATTGAAGGGTTTCTTTCAAAAACGACACATGGACACAAAACATTTATGGACATGTGTCGTTTTTGAAATAAACCCTTCAATTGTATTCCTTTGTCCGAAACCTGTTTTCTCTCCCATATTCTATTATATAACTAATTTATTTAAAATATCCGCATAATGTGCCCCTATTCTACCTACATCGGTTTTAAAATTAACTGTTTTATTATTATTTGTTTGTTATGAAGATTGACTCTAAATTTTTCCTTATTTGTATGGTTTTATTTGTTGTTAATATCTTAGGATTATCGAAATCAAACTTATGATTTAAAGTTACAGAATGTTGGCACAAAGCTGTTTTGTTTTGAATTTTTATTTGTTTAGTATCGTATTTGTGTTGTTGTATTCGTTTTTTAAGATGTTGTTTTGATTCCCCTATATATATTTTATTACAATCAATGCAATTTAATTGGTATATAGTATCTACTTTATCTAAAGTTTTGATTTTGTCCTTCATGTTTGATGTTAAGGTGCCGATTTTGTTGTTATTGTATTTAGCGAATTTTATTTCGGATATTTCATACTTTTTAAAGATGTTCGTTATTTTATTTGTTAGTGCTGGTATATATTTGATTTTACAAAATTCTTTATTATGAGTACTTTTGCTATTAATTCCTTGAGTACTAACATCGTTTTCCTGACAAATCTGCTCTATATTACTCTGTCTAGGTATGAATTGTGTAATTAAGGATTGTCTAAAAATTGGCTTATTCTTTTTGTTCATATCTCCTTTCCCATTTTCTGCATCTGCATTCCCAGCTTTTTGATGATTATCTCGTGGGGTTGTGTTATTTGTTGTGACTTCCAGTCCTTGTATATTATTTAGTATCGTAAACCATGAGTTATTGATCAAGTACTTGGGATAAAAATTATTTAACAAAATATCATAAATTTTTTGTTTTATTTCTTTCAAAAAGGGTTTATCTGTCAATTTTATCGCTCTATATATATAATTGTTCATCGTGTTTATAATTTGCGACATGAACAAAATAACATAAATAACAATTAAACAAAATAAAATGAAGAGAAACATTCCAATTAAACAGAACAAAAATAAAATTGCGCATTACAAAAATATATCAAACACCCTCTTGCGTAAAACAATGAGTTTGAACGTACGAGCCGAGCCGGCACACCTCGCATAACCAGGAATCAAATTCCAAAACAGTCACTAGATAACAAAACTTGCGATACATGATCATCTCTTCGAAGATTATACATAAAACCAAGACACGAATTCTGCACAACCTGAACCCTCCTTAAACTCTCCTGGGATAAACATGAACCAAATACAACATCACAATAATTAAAGTGAGACAATACAAGAGAATCACAAAGGAGTCATTTCAAACCCTGTGATAAAAACATCTTACTACAGTAGAGCCTTCTTAGGGAACCATAAGCACGCCTACATAATAAATTAATATGCTTACCAAACGCAAGTTGATCATCAATAATAAGACCTAAACTCTTAACCGAATTGGTCAGTCCTAACTGCACTCCGAGCATCCTAATATTAATCCTTATTAACAAATAAATTACCCTTTTTAGTAAATAAAATACATTGAGTCTTGTCAGGGTTGATCAAAAGAGCATGTCTCTTAATTTCTAAACATAAGTGATTTAAATCCTCCGTTATTTTATCACAAGCTTCCGATCGCTCACCAGGCAGGAAATCTAGATACAGTTGGNCAGATAGGGATTTAATTGGAACAGCCTTAGACTTATCGTTGCGCCGAACGAAGATTGACCCCTGTGACACCCAACTGTATTTAAAGCCTTTAGAACGGGCCGCGTCCCTAGTAAGTTTCAGCAGTCTCTTATTTTCAGGAGAGAGATGTTCATTGACGAAGATCCGTTCAGAGACTCCAGGAACGACGAAACCAGGCGAAGGATAAACATAGTCATTGTTTTCATCTAGGTAAACATACATATAAAGATAAATTTTTAATAACTTTCTCAAAATAACATGACTTAAATAAATAAATAAAGATATATAATTTTTAGTTTATGGAGGCTTTGGTATATTTTATTATAAAAATTGTGACATCATTCCCTCCTTTATTTCTAAAACTCCAATTATAACGACGTTTCGGGAAATGTTCCCATCATCAGGTTAATAATACTCTTATCTAAAGAAACACGAATTACTAAATTAAAAATAACATAATTACTATTACAAACATGAAAAACAATCTCCATACACTTAAATCACAAAAGATTTTTTTGTTTAGTTTATAGAATATGATTCTTACCTAAGACTATTCATCAATTTTTATCATTAATTGTTTCTTAAATTTATTCCGATACATCTTATCATGCTTACGAATCAAGTCTAAGAGAAATTTTCATACAAGGTCAGATAACAATTGTATTCCTTTGTCCGAAACCTGTTTTCTCTCCCATATTCTATTATATCACTAATTTATTTAAAATATCCGCATAATGTGCCCCTATTCTTCCTACATCGGTTTTAAAATTAACTGTTTTATTATTATTTTTTGTTATGAAGATTGACTCTAAATTTTTCCTTATTTGTATGTTTTTATTTGTTGTTAATATCTTAGGATTATCGAAATCAAACTTATGATTTAAAGTTACAGAATGTTGGCACAAAGCTGTTTTGTTTTGAATTTTTATTTGTTTAGTATCGTATTTGTGTTGTTGTATTCGTTTTTTAAGATGTTGTTTTGATTCCCCTATATATATTTTATTACAATCAATGCAATTTAATTGGTATATAGTATCTACTTTATCTAAAGTTTTGATTTTGTCCTTCATGTTTGATATTAAGGTGCCGATTTTGTTGTTATTGTATTTAGCGAATTTTATTTCGGATATTTCATACTTTTTAAAGATGTTCGTTATTTTATTTGTTAGTGCTGGTATATATTTGATTTTACAAAATTCTTTATTATGAGTACTTTTGCTATTAATTCCTTGAGTACTAACATCGTTTTCCTGACAAATCTGCTCTATATTACTCTGTCTAGGTATGAATTGTGTAATTAAGGATTGTCTAAAAATTGGCTTATTCTTTTTGTTCATATCTCCTTTCCCATTTTCTGCATCTGCAGTCCCAGCTTTTTGATGATTATCTTGTGGGGTTGTGTTATTTGTTGTGACTTCCAGTCTTTGTATATTGTTTAGTATCGTAAACCATGAGTTATTGATCAAGTGCTTGGGACAAAAATTATTTAACAAAATATCATAAATTTTTTGTTTTATTTCTGTCAAAAAGGGTTTATCTGTCAATTTTATCGCTCTATATATATAATTGTTCATCGTGTTTATAATTTGCGACTTTGGGTGATTACTATGGTAATTCAATAGTCTATCACTGCTTTTATCTTTTTTATACCATTTCGTCCTTATTATGTTATTGTCATTATCGATGATAATTGACATATCCAAAAAATTTATTTGTGATTGTTTCGGTATTTCCACCGTGAATTTCAATCTATCATTAAAATCATTAAAAACATCCAACAATTGGGAATATTGTCCTTTGGGCAAGATAATCAATAGATCATCTATATACTTCGTTATCAACAAAGGTTTTATTGGTGTTTTATTCAACTGTGTGTCTAATAAATGATTTAAAATTATCCCGCTTAAATTTACACTTAAACTCGACCCCATTGGTAATCCAAAGATTTGCCTATAATATGTTTCATTATATGTGAAGTAATTATTAAAAGTGCATAACTTTATGCAGTCAATAAATAATCTTTTGTTTTTAATCCCACAACCCCACAAGATAATCATCAAAAAGCTGGGAATGCAGATGCAGAAAATGGGAAAGGAGATATGAACAAAAAGAATAAGCCAATTTTTAGACAATCCTTAATTACACAATTCATACCTAGACAGAGTAATATAGAGCAGATTTGTCAGGAAAACGATGTTAGTACTCAAGGAATTAATAGCAAAAGTACTCATAATAAAGAATTTTGTAAAATCAAATATATACCAGCACTAACAAATAAAATAACGAACATCTTTAAAAAGTATGAAATATCCGAAATAAAATTCGCTAAATACAATAACAACAAAATCGGCACCTTAATATCAAACATGAAGGACAAAATCAAAACTTTAGATAAAGTAGATACTATATACCAATTAAATTGCATTGATTGTAATAAAATATATATAGGGGAATCAAAACAACATCTTAAAAAACGAATACAACAACACAAATACGATACTAAACAAATAAAAATTCAAAACAAAACAGCTTTGTGCCAACATTCTGTAACTTTAAGTCATAAGTTTGATTTCGATAATCCTAAGATATTAACAACAAATAAAAACATACAAATAAGGAAAAATTTAGAGTCAATCTTCATAACAAAAAATAATAATAAAACAGTTAATTTTAAAACCGATGTAGGAAGAATAGGGGCACATTATGCGGATATTTTAAATAAATTAGTGATATAATAGAATATGGGAGAGAAAACAGGTTTCGGACAAAGGAATACAATTGTTATCTGACCTTGTATGAAAATTTCTCTTAGACTTGATTCGTAAGCATGATAAGATGTATCGGAATAAATTTAAGAAACAATTAGTGATAAAAATTGATAATAGTCTTAGGTAAGAATCATATTCTATAAACTAAACAAAAAATCTTTTGTGAGTTAAGTGTATGGAGATTGTTTTTCATGTTTGTAATAGTAATTATGTTATTTTTAATTTAGTGATTCGTGTTTCTTTAGATGAGAGTATTATTAACCTGATGATGGGAACATTTCCCGAAACGTCGTTATAATTGGAGTTTTAGAAATAAAGGAGGGAATGATGTCACAATTTTTATAATAAATAAAGATAAATTTTTAATAATTTCGTCAAAATAACATGACCTTCTCAAGTTAATGACCTCCTCCTCTTCTCATCGAACCTCCTCTGACCCCCAAAAAATTTGTCGATTCAAGAACCTCCTCCTAGAACGCAGGTTCGAGGAGGAGGTTCTAGAATCGGCGAATCTATACTACTATCCAATTGTATAGGTGGAAAGTATTCCTCAGAAATTTCGCTCTTCATACCAACCAGTGTGAACGTCTGTGACATCGTCATACATATGACCCGTTTCCTGTTTGAAGTAGGAATTTTATACATAAATGGCCGCAATTGTACTGATTGGCCTTCTGATAATTATCGTGATTATAGATAATTTGAGTGTCTTTAAAGTACTTTAAAAGTTCCTTTGGGGGTTTGAGATCCCCATAACTAATAATAACTAATAATAACTAATAATAACTAATAATAACTAATAATAACTAATAATAACTAATAATAACTAATAATAACTAATAATAACTAATAATAACTAATAATAACTAATAATAACTAATAATAACTAATAATAACTAATAATAACTAATAATAACTAATATAATAACTAATATAAATCATCACTTTCGGTGTTTAATAAAATATAGCAAGCTGCTGTGCAACCGGCCATTCGTTCTCGACGCCTCAACATTTTCAAATGTGAATATAGAGGAGAATCGCCGCGCCAGAATTGCCGCACGGCCCGAAGCTTGCCATTTTACAAGCCGTCTGATCGTGATCGCCCAGGCGCGCTTGCCGCGCGGCACTCCACGCTTTGCACGCCAGGCGCGTAACTCTACACGCCGTGTAATGCCACCTTTACAGTACATCCTAACCTTCAACTTTAACGTGGTTTCCGGTTATCCTGTTACTATCCACAAAGACATCTTCCACACACATCTGCTAGCAGTTATTCTACTTTATTGTATGTTGTTCCTCATATATCCTTTTTACGATGTGAGTATGTTTTATAATATTTTTGATGATTTACTGGATTTATTTCAATGTTCTTAACAACATAACCTCAATTTATATATTTTGTTATCTGTATACTCTTCTAATATATGTTATTACTTGTAGACCTCCGATGATGGTCATTTAAAAGACCGAAACATGTCAGGTTGAACTTAAACTTAAAATAAACCAGTTGTAACACAATTTTCGAATTTATTTAGCCAGTGAAAAGTTCGTAAATTCCTTAATTTTCTCCTTCAGTTAAAGAACCAAATTTTGAGATAAATCATTTATTCTTGAAGCAACAGTGTTTCTTGACAGCGAAATATTTTGAATTATTGACTTTTGAAATGGAAATGAAACATCAGCAACTTTCAACATACAGTCTTTAATAAAATCACCATCAGCGAAAGGTTCTTCGCGATTTCTAATGCAATAATAAAACTTGATTTCAGGGCATCTTCGCTCTCAGTATTAGCTGTAATAAACATCGATTGTTGACCTTGAAGTTTAGATTTTAAAGATGACAATGTGTTCATTCTTATTTTTTCAGTGTAACAATCGAATTTTGATTTATGATTCGTATCATAGTGTCTCTTCAAGTTAAACTCCTTACAAACAGCAGCAACTGTTTGATTGCAAATCAAACACAGTGGGTTACCTTTCCATAGTATGAAAAAATATGCAATTTCCCATTTAGACTGAAAAACTCTGCACTCACTATCAACTTTACGTTTTTGTGACATTATGCCAAAATCGTAACAATTATGGAACTCGACACAACAATTATGGATATCGCACGCGCACGACACAAACAAATGTACAATACCTTCATAATCACTACTTCACAGTACAACTAAAATCCTTCTCCGACCGTATAGCTTCGATTACTCGACTCAACTGACTCACGTTGCGGTGACGCACTCCTTTTATATCGATAAGGAAGGTTCTAGTCTAGACTCGAAGAGCGTGGAACATTCTATTGTTCTCAACAAAATTAATAGGGTATATCCACTTGTTGCTAAGAGATGGCGTCACTGTCTATCTCTCTCGCTTGTCTAGGCACGCGCTGCCCTTGAAATTACTTATAAATGTAGTGTGCGCTTTTTAAAACTTCCGTAGAGGAATCGAGTGAAGTCTAAAAGCTCTAAAAAACAGGATTCTTCTTTCTGTGACACATTGCGATCGCGGGTCGCATCCGGCCCCCAGGTCGTATCTTTGACGTGACGGCTCTATCACGTTCGATCTTTGAACGCTTGCCTACTTTATCTTGTTTACTACTATTGACTACTACTATACTACACTATTGAGGAATTTTGGCTGGCGTGCGAAGCGTGGAGTGCCGCGCTGCAAGCGCGCCTGGGCGATCACGATCAGACGGCTTGTAAAATGGCAAGCTTCGGGCCGTGCGGCAATTCTGGCGCGGCGATTCTCCTCTATATTCACATTTGAAAATGTTGAGGCGTCGGGAACGAATGGCCGGTTGCGTAGCAGCTTGCTATATTTTATTAAATACCGAAAGTGATGATTTACAAAAAAAAAAGAAAAGAAAAAGGTGATGGTTGGCGTCGCACTATAAAAGTCGGTCCAGGTAAATTTGAAAAATATATGAAATGTTTTATTTTATTATTTTTATAAATGTATTTTTAGATACAACGCTAGTGACATGTTGTACGATTTAAACAGTGAACCTTCTGGAAAATTCTTCAATTTTTGTAGAATGTCTGCAGCAGATTTTGAATTTTTCATTAATAAAATTGGGCAACGAATATCAAAAATGGACACTAACATGAGAAAGTGCATTCCGGTACAAGAAAGGTTGGCTGTGGCACTGAGGTTTCTAGCAACTGGGGACAGCTACGCAAGTCTATCTTATTTATTCAAATTTTCTCCGCAGACCGTCTCAAAATGCGTCGATGAAGTTTGCAGTGCGTTGATAGACACATTACAAGGAGAAATAAAGGTAGGGTTTTAGAATATTATTGCGACCGCGATTGAAAAGCTTGTTGTGTTATTAAGAATGGCTGAGAATGAGTAGATGATTGTGATGATTCTGTGGATGATTGAGCATGGGAATCAGGAGATGGCAAAAATTCTGGTAATGGTGGAGAACAAGGAGAAGGCGAAAACCCCGAGGATGTTTGAGAATAAGGAGAAGATTGAGAGTGAGAATACAAAGGGGAAAAGCTTGAAAATGTGTGAAAGCTACGGTGAGCAAATGATGGGTGCTGTGAGTATGCTTGAGAATAAGATGTTTGAGAATTGGATGGTTGAACAAACTGA